CTGGTCTCGGAGGTCTGGACTTCAAGTACTTACCCTTACCATCAAAGGACTCATATTTTAAGGCCTTTGGGTCCAAAGACCCTATTATATAAGGCTTTTGGGCTATTTTGATGCTAAGGGTTAGGGTTCCAAGCCACATAAACTAGGCAAGAAACGTCCGACGGAGGCAGCTCGCCGGCGCGCAACCTGCTTCCATCAACGTACCTTGGCAACCGAGGCCGGGTTCAGATTTTGCTCAACCTCTGCCCATTCTTCGCCAAGGCATTGCAACGAGTTTTTACTATCGAAACCCTAAGGGTCCATATACTCAAATAGGATATACTTTGGCCTTAGTGTAGTCCCTATATAGGTACTTTGGGGCCAATGTATATACTATTTAGGTACATGGACCCTTAGGGGAATCTCTGCTCCGTGCACCCAACTGGAGTCGCAGGCTTTTCGTACGCGATCTTCTTTAAGAGCCTCCTCTTTGGCTGGCGGTCATCGAAAGCTGGAGCACGTGCCCCACGAGACACCGCGCATCGGGCTCCCTTCAATGTCGAAAATCGAAAATCTTGCGGGTGCGAGGAATCACCGAGAAATCAGGATGCTACAAGCTGAGCTTATCCTCCTCTAGGGACGAGGTGGCCTGCAATCCCCACTCTAAAAGCTTCATGAAGGTCCCGACCCGCAAGCCGGATGCTCGACAGGCACGGAACTCTTGATGGACAGAAGACGAAGCGGTGTTGTTTCGGGGTCGCTCAGACGGGGTGAATCACACCAAGAGCAGAAGCGATCGTCAGACACTGAATTCTAAACCCATGTTAGGGTTTATTTAGGGTTTAGGGTTTAGGCTCTCATCAGACGAAACATGACTAAACCGTAGAGGACCTAAGCCTTCAACTCTAGGCAACGTGAAATCAAGTTCTGAGTTCTGGCGACTCCTCAGATGCTCCAGGATCCCATGACAAAGCACGGTCGCTGGAACTGGTGCTGAAAATTTCAAGGAGCGATCTGGAGGATCCAGCGACGGACGATGAAGAAAGATCATACTTGGTTTAGCTCAGGGATCAGGTTGTTCAGTTGAGGGTTCCGGGGAACAGGTATAGATCCGACATAGAGAAGCTCTGCAATACCTCCCTAAACCCTAAACCCGAAACCCGAAACCCTAACTCCTTAAACCCTAAACCCTAAACCCTAACGTAGAAAACCCTATGCTGCACTGGATTCTCGTTGAGCTGATGTCTTCAATGACAGTGGCCATGACCAGGATTCAGTCCGGTGTATACAATGCCATGGCGTGTTTATGATCACAATTTAGGGTTTAGGGTCTAGGGTTTTTTTGTTTTTTTTTGAACGCCTTTTTCCGTCCGCCTAATGGAGTCCGAAACTTCAAGATTTGAAGAGGCGCCGCGGCTACTCACAGGCTTCACATACACCCTTGCCTTGTGCCACCCTCACAGTCCCCCGTCCACATCTGGATCCATCTGGGTCCCACGCGACCCTCCACCAACATCATCTTCACGGCGTGTTGCTTCGTCCCGGAGCACTGCCACCCCAAGGTTGTCCATTGTGTCACCACCAGGGTCCCGCACAGCTGCGTACTGAGCCTCCATCAACTCCAAAACGTCCGGGCCGTACTGCAACCTGACCGCCTCGCTCGACAGCTGGCCCATCTCCCACTGCCCATAGAGGCGCGAGAACTGCGCATAGTCCATCTCCATGTGCTCCTGGCCTTCTGCTCCGCGGTTGTCCACCACATTCGGCTCCTCCTGGGGCTCGTCCGCTGACTGGTGCGGCTCCCGTCCATCATCCACAGCCGGCGGGTCCACAATGACCGTTGCCATGTCGCTCTCGGAGACTTCGTCCACCATCACAGCCCGAAGTTTCAGGGTAAGGGCTCCCTGCTCCGGCACCGTCAGGACCCTGCGCCATGTGCGAGGTCTGTCTTGGGAGCCAGTAGCCTCTTCTCCCTGCACTTCCAGATCGACGACACACCGGCGTTTGGTGTGCACCGTCCGGCTTCGTTGGCTCGCCCTCATGGACTCCTCATGCAGCCCCCAGTCTTCCCATGCTTGGAACAGGGCCGCCTGGCGTTGTAGCATGCGGATCTCCTCGTCCTCGATCATTTCTCGCTCCTTCTGCCTGGCTCTCGCCTCCATCTCGGCTTCCCGTCGGACTTCTTCTTCATCCCTAGCCATGGCGTGAATCTCTTCCTCCGTCAGTCCCCGGTGACCTTCGACCGAGATAGGGCCTGGCCCCATGTGGATAGCCGTCGCCATGCCCGGGAGGAACGCCTCGAGCTCCTGCCCCCAGGCTTGTAGCCACTCTTCGTCCTGCTCAACGGGGTGCACCGGCCGCTCCAGGTCCATGGCAGTGAGGAGTGCGAAAAGCTGGTCCTCCTCCTCGCTCCAGTTATTGACGTCCACTCTGTTGAACAGCCTGGCGCGCAACTGGTGCACGTGACTGCGCTGCTTGGCCGGTGTCTGTGATATCAACTCCTTCTGCAGGCGAATCAAGGCTCGACTCCATCTCTCCGCTCGGTTCGCCATCTCCCTCTCTGCATCAGGTTGACCTCGTCAGCGTCCTCAGACTGTACCGGCTTGCCGAGCTGCATGAGGCCAGTCTCATCTCCACTGGCCTCATCTTCCAGCAGAACATCCACCAGGACTTCGTTGCGATCACTCGCAGCCCCAACTTGCAAGCCTCGTTCGAAGGCAACCATGACTTCAGCCATCAGCATTCTGAGGAACCGCATGAACGCCACCGTCATCACCGCCCGGTCGTGCGCATCATACTGCGCCACCGTTTCCCGAATCATGGCGCTCGAGAAGTCCGGTAGCAGCGGGCGTCCCGCCGCAACCACATCATGCCCAGCCTCGAAGTTCTCCACGTCAATGCCCAGCAGAAACCGCCATGCATCAACTCCTTGTGCCTCCTCCAGTCGCTCCGGCGGCATCGGTCTAGAGGAGGTATTCGAAGGCGCACTCGATGCCGCAGCCTCGCTGGCGTGTGTTCCGCCCCCAGCCCTTGGCACCAGCCTCCGCACTTCCTCGGTAACACAGGTGCGCGATCTTCTGGCCGGCTCTGGGCGTTCCGTGGCAGTGCCATGACGTGTCCCTGGGTCACGGTCACGACCTCGATGAAGCCATCTGGGGTTAACCCCCGAGAGCCTTTCTCCTCGCCCTCGGTCATCTGCTCTCGCTCTTGTGGGCGGCCGGGAGTCATCTCTAGCACGGCTGCGCTCCCTCCTCGTCTCCATGAAGGCCGCAGCGTCCTCTGCCTCCTCACAGTCTCCCTGGCGTGTTCGGCTTCTGGATCTGTTGTTTCTGCGCTGGCGGCCTGCGCGCTGCCTATCGCCCCAAAAGGCACGCAGCTCGTTCAGGGCCTGAACGACCCACTGTTGAGCTGCCTCTCGCAGCTGTTGTTCCTCCTCCTGCGGATCCCAGTACATGT